GGGGGGGGTGTGTTATAGGGTGCCAAGAGGTGCCATCAGGGTGCCAGGGATTGTTACATGATGACCTGACCTGACCTGACCTGACTCTAATCTCTAGGTCGATAATGTGAACTACTTCGTTAAATTTAGTGTATTATGTCACTGTAATTAAGCTTTCCAGCCTTTACTCGTTTAAATGCTCTCTCTCTCTCTCTCTCTCTCTCTCTCTCTCTCTCTCTCTCTCACACGTCTTCCTTCACCCCTTCTTGGTCCACCTCATCTCCCTCATTTTTCCCTCCCCTCCCTACCTCCTTCACTATTCCTCACCACCTTCCATCCTCACCCTTCCTCCACTCATCCTCAACTCACCACCTTCCATTCTTCCATCACCTGACCTCCTCGTCCTCCACTAGTCCCTCACCCTTCTTCCTCACCTTCCTTCACCCCTGCACCCTACCCCCACCCACCCCCACCCACTTCCGTGAGCGTGTTTATTAACCCGCCATTGAGTGTGATCAGCGTGTGACTTATCAAACATTCATAGCTTAAGGCTCTCTCACTGTGCCGTCACTGACTCGATATTGATTCGACCGCGCAGGTTCATGCTGGAAGGATACTGACCTGACGATACTGACGTAGGTAGGATACTGACGGAGGGGATACTGACGGAGGGAGGGTAGGACTGACGGAAGGATACTGACGGAGGGGGGGATACGACGACTGGACGGAGGAGGAAGGATACTGACGGAGGGGGGATTGACGGAGGGAGGGTAGGATACTGACGAAGGATACTGACGGAGGGGGAGGGGATACTGACCTGACTGATACTGACGGAGGAGGGTGGATACTGACGGGGAAGGATACTGACGGAGGGGAGGGGAGGATACTGACGGAGGGGGGATATGACTGACGGAGAGGGAGGGGATACTGACGGAGGGGAGGGATACTGACGGGGAGGGAAGGATACTGACGGAGGGGGGGATACTGACGGAGGGTAGGATACTGGACGGAGAGGGAAGGATGACACTAGGGGGAGGATACTGATACTGAGAGGGGATACTGACGGAGGGAAGGATACTGACTGACGGATACTGACGGGGATACTGACGGAGGATACTGACGGAGGGGGATACTGACGGAGGATACTGACGGAGGATACTGACGGAGGGGGGATACGGAGGGGATACTGACGGAGGGGAGGTAGGATACTGAGGAGGGTAGGATACTGACGGAGGGGGGATACTGACGGAGGGGGGATACTGACGGAGGGGGGATACTGACGGAGGGGGGATACTAACGGAGGGGGAGGGAAGGATACTGACGGAGGGAGAGAGAGAGAGAGACTATTAATTTGGACGTCTTCGTAAACCTTCTATTGAAACCAGCACCTACAGCCCCCGCAGACATTACTTAAGAATCATACGGACATCAGAATCTCTTGAAGTTTAAGCTGAGAATATGCAGACGCGATTTTAAGCTTCTGATAATAATAATAATAATAATAAGCCGGATTTTTTGTTTTTTTGGGGGGGAGGGTGGTGGAACTAGACACAAGGCGAATTAAACTACAAAAATAACTACATTAAATCAATACGTAATTGCATAGTGTCAGAAATAGGAGCGTATAATGACAGTGGAGAGGTTTCTTTTGCCATGACAATGTGGTGGTAGTGGCGTAGAATTTGCGTATATGATGACCATGCATAATAAAACTCTTACATTACGCGACGCAAAACATTGGATAGTTTAAACGCATTACCTCCCTCTGGTTACTTGACTCTCTTAAAAATTTAATGTCGTGATGATGTCAAATGGTCCACTATGACTCACACACGCACGCACACTCCACACACACACACACACACACACACACACACACACACACACACACATACACACACATACACAATTGATAATGACTTCTCCTCCTACAATCAGCCACAGGTAAATAATTAATTAACTTAACGACGAATTTTACCTCTCACACAACTTAGAGTGATTACGACCTTAGTCCCATAACTTACACACATCATGACCTCGACACATGAACCAGAGCAATACAGTTACAGGAGTTAATGAGGTGAGAGTACAGTCATGAGTACAGTACAGGTAACCAAGGAAAACAGCTTGGATAAGAGTACTCAATTCATGACTTGGATACAGTGAAGAGTACAGGAAGTTAGTAAGGAAGAAGATGATGATACACTTGGTACAGTCATTATTACAGCTATTTAAGAAAGCTTGGATAATGGTAAACACTTCATGACTTGGATATAATGATCTTGAATAATCCAGTTGGTATAGTGAAGACCACAGTGACAGGGCGGTCATAAGGTGAACTAACAAGACAAAAGCTTGGATAATCGCTGAGTAAGCAGTACGGAACCCTGAGTAGGTCCGGACAATTAGGAAGGGAGGTGTACATTCTCGTGTTTACTATTGAGGTGGTTCCTACCACTTCCCTCAATTACTTGTAATCACATTTCACGCCGAGACCTCGTGACGCAGCGCTCAGGCCCGCCGCTTGTCGATACCCGGGTGTTTGCTCTCTCCCGCCGGTCACAGTCACCCCGTACCCTACTTCTTCGGTGCAATTTAAAGAAATTACGTCATAAATTAGTTAATTACTTGTCGTGGTGTGTTGTTGAAAGACACGAGGACGTCTAATAGTGAGGTGGACTCTTGTGTTGGACTCGACTCTTCCTACTAGACGTATAATTCATATCTGTGATGATTTATGATAAATAAATAATAATTCGCAGCAGGAGTTATGGCAGGATGATATAATCGAAGTTTCAATAAGAGAGTCACGGAGGCACCAAATTACGCATGGCATACCTGTGGCCAATTTTCCTTGCTCTGTTATCGTTCTGTAAACTTCAGCAGCACTTGAAAGATACACTCAAGAATTTATGAACGGACAATATACTCACCAAACAACTGAGAGACAGAGAGCGAGCATGAAGTGTGAGCATGATAGATCGTTCCTCACAAAGCTTAAAATTACATACAAATAAGTGAGCAAAAGGGTGAGTGGAGAAGTGTGAAGGAAGGTAAACATAGCAGGTGAGACGCCCAGTGGTGGTCCCTCAAGATCCTAGGGGCCGGCAGGTGGCTCCTTCTCCCTTACTTATCGCGCACTGTTGACACACGCCTCACCTTTTCTTTTTGTGACTTAGACTAATCAGGCTGAAGTAATCATGTGTCATTAATCAGACGCGAGGAGGAAATCAACAGATCTTGTGGGTTAGTTAGTTCCACGACCTCAACTAGGGAAAGGCTGGATAGGACTTTGGTGGACCGGGGAGGGGCTGAGGAGGGATGAGAAAGACTGAGAAGGGCTGGGGAAGGGCTAGGGAGGGCCGAAGAGGAGGGTTGTATCACTTGTATGTTATTTGAGGTTGGTTGAGGTAAGGTAGAGCTGACCACACCTCATGGCACCTTTGATGGCCAGACAGCCGTGAGTGTTTAACAAATAATCCTAATTGGTAATTTCACGTGTACACCTGGCTATGAATAACGCGGCTATTATGCTAAGGTAGGGGGATTGTGTGGTGGGGGGGTGCTGGAGGTCGATACTCCTTGCCGTAATAGTAATTCCTCCTTCTTCCGCTCCGGTTCGTGTAATTCTGTTTACCGGCGATTTTCTTGATGTGTGTAACCGGTTAACTTATGGTCGAGGAGTTCCGGGCAGGCGTGGGGAGGGGGGGGGGTCACAGTGAGTTAGGCATCGCCAGAGTCAACAAGGCTTGACCATTGATTATAGTGCCACTCCCTTATGCATTACGCGATAACCTTCATTTGCATAAGAAAGTTGAATTCCGTAATGGCTAGGAGTGGCTGGCGGCAAACAGGAGGACCGCTTAAAAGCCTTTCTTCGTTATTGACTACTGGCGCCGTTCCTACACCCTGGTGACGACCGGGGTAAGAAAGCTGTTAGCATATATTCACTAATACACCCAAGAATGATATTTATGTCTGCAAGTTATTACCCAAAAGGCGAGAAATTACGGAAGGAATCCAGACTATTGGCGAATGGAAGGATAGTATGTGTGTGTGTTAGTGTGTTAGTGACAGGTGTGTTAGTAGACAGGTGTGTTAGTAGACAGGTGTGTTAGTAGACAGGTGTGTAAAATGACAGGTGTGTAAAGTGACAGGTGTGTAAAGTGACAGGTGTGTAAAGTGACAGGTGTGTAAAGTGATTAGGGTGTTACTAGCCTGTGTGTCAGTGTCAGGTGTGTCCGTAAAGCTGATTACTATGAAAGGTGGACTACTGGTGTGTAAATTTTATGTATTTTGTGTGTGTGTGAGTGAGAGTATGTATGTATGTGTGTGTGTGTGTGAGTGAGAGTATGTATGTATGTATGTATGTGTGTGTGTGTGAGTATATACTGTATATATATATAATTATGTATATGTATCAAAGTGTCTTATTTATATAGGTATACTTATACTATTTAACTCCCTCCCCATACTAAAACACTCCTCATTCCTCCCCGGACCACAAGACACACTGTCGCAGCTCCACTTCCTCTCGATCACAACACCAAACTTATAGTGAGTTCCTTGAGAGCGTAAAGGAAACAAGAGACCTGTCGGCGAGTTTGCTGGTTTTACACACGACTCGCTACGATACTCACCAGTCGAGTTTGTTCTAAAATATTGACGATAAGAATTCGATTTTTTGTTACATTAGAGGAAGTTTGTAGACAGCAGGGTTCCTTTCATTGGGGTGTTTTGATTTTCTAATGATACAAGTTAAGGCTATAGTGAATATTTTTCCCGTTTTTCTTTGTTTAATGTCTTGAGGAAATAATTATGGTCTATGGTCTTTAGGTTAGGTTAGGGAGGAGGATAATTTTTAGTTTTATAATGAGAAAAAATATCTTTAGACTAAAACAGCATTCGAATTAAGGTTTTACAATCACCACAAAACAAAATTGAAAAAAAATGCGTTTATCAGGGATATTGTGAACTATCTGCGCCGTTAATGATTCAGATGATAATAATGAAGGACTTACCTCTAGCAGTGGGCGGGTCGCCTCCAGGCCGGTGCTGCTGCTGGCGATGGGTACTGGGCTGCTCACTCTGCCGTGGGCGTGGGTAATGTGGGCGTGGTCTTCCTTGTGTGTACGGTCTTCCCGGTGTGTCCGGTCCTCCTGGCGGGAGAGGCAACGGGCGCTCTCCTCCACCTCCGCCTCCCCGGGGGCATGGTCGTCGACCTGGTCGTTCTTGTGGTCGTCGGACTTGTAAGTGTCGTTTTTATAATGGTCGAGGTCGAGACTTGGGTGCCTCGTCGTGCTGGGCTTGTAGCTGTCGTGTTTGATGCTGTCGCTTTTGTAGAGGTCGTGTTTGTAGGTGTCGCTCTTGTAGCCGTCAGTCTTGAGGTCAGAGTCGTCATCAGTGGCCTCAATGTCCACCGTCTCGTCGTCCGAATGTCTGCTGGAGTCCGGTAGAGGCGCCCCTGAGTCCCGACCACCCGCGCTGCTTGTGGGCGTGGGCGATGCTCGCGTCACGGGCGTGAACGCTGACAGGTGTGCCGGTCGGAGTGCGGGAGGCTCTGTTTCGGCTGGTCGGGGATCGGTGATCGGATCGGGTCTGGGGTCGGGAAGTGGCAGAGGAGGAAAGCTTGGAAGGGGTCGTCTGGGCCACGCTGCCAGGGGGTACGGCAGACCCAGAGGGGGTAAAGATCCTCTGGACCCCCACAAGTAGTCTACGAAGGTCTGGTGGGCGTCCTTATGATGGGCGGGGTAGGGCGGCGGTAGCGGCGCTAGGTATGGCGGCGGATAGGCTAAGTCACCGCCCACTGTCTTGAGGGCGGGCGGAGCGAAGGATGGCGGCTTGGTGAGCGGCGCGTCGAGTCTCGGGGACTTAGACAAGCGGGAGCCCGGGCCCTGGGGAAGGACACGGCGCTGCCAAAGACAAGTGTTGATAATTTGGTGTTTAACGCCGCCAGGTGGCGCTGGTGGCTCCTACTGTACACCTGGTCACCACTAAGGGGTCAATATTCTTCATATATTTTAATTTAGAATAATATATATAATCATGAAGGTGTAAAAAATATTACATATATTATATATTATATATATGTATATATATATATATATATATATATATATATATATATATATATATATATATATATATATATATATATATATATATATATATATATATATATATATATATATATATATATATATATATATATATATATATAATGTGTATGTTTGTGTTTCTAATTATAATATTCTAGTTTTAGTGTGTTAATAATACGTTAATTTTCAAACACTTTCGTTACGCATCATATACTATACATTACATCAACAAATTCTTTAATCATGCGTCTCTCGCAGTCTATCACGCTGAAGTTAGATTCTGGCAAAATACCCCCCCTGACACTTCACATGTTAGCGCCGGGTGTTTGATGCCCATGTGCTTCAGTTCAGATGTTTCCTAACCTAAACCAACCAAACTAAATCACCACTCAGGTGTTGTCACCTTCGGCAACACAATACAAGGTAAAGACGTCTTACCTGGCTGGTGGCCGCCATAAGCCTCTTCCTGGTGCCGCCGTTGAACATGGCTTTAACGTCCTCCCAGGCATGTTGTACGTCCATTGGCGGCTCTCCGGACAGCCGAATGTGCCGCCGCCATGAGTTGAAGTTAGCGGCATCCGGCTGCACGTACTTGCTGTCCGCCAGTCGATGGGAGTGAAATACGAACTTGTTGGGGCTGAAGAACATGGCACAGTACAGGCACTTAATGCACTTGGCGCGTGACGAGTTGTATCTGGCGACGAACAAACCAAAACCAGCATCTTTATTATACGAGCCTCTACAATATTGCTGCTACAGTATACGTCATTATTCTAGTATACGAATTGTTGTGTGTGTGAAGACCTACCTGGAGGGGACGAAGGAGCCGCGGCAGCCCCAGGCACACTCATGCATCACGTCGAAGGCAAAGTTCTCTGGTAGCTTTGGCGGCGAGTTGTCCCCGAGGAAGGACTTACACAGCCTCTCCGCCTCCCTCTTGGTGATCATCCCACACCTGAGACCACGGGGAGACAGGTAATTAGAGGCTGATTAACTACCTGTATGTGCAATGGAAGATAAAGACGTACACACACACACCGCTCTCAATTACACACTCAAATTCGTATGCACACACAAGTACAAATCACATATGTCCTATTCTAAATAATTTCTGCTACATTAATATTTATTGACGTGCATAAAATTATCTATACAAGGTAGGAGGCGCACCACAACATCTCATCGGGGAGAATAAAACACAAGTGGTGGTGAGAGGGCGGAGTGTACCGTGTGATGTATTGGCCAATCATTATTATTATTAATTGGCCAGTCATTATCAAGGTTTATTTGCTATTAAACACGGTGTATAAAGAGCGTTAGTTAGAGACGTTAAGCAATAAACGACAACACCAATAAGACTATTTAAGCTACTGACCTTCTGGAGGAGATGGGCATAGCACCTGCCCGACGGAGGATCTCCAACTGGACGGGGGTACACTGGACGCAGGTGATGCCCAGGGCCACCCGCCGGTTGTGGATCTCGTTGTAGCTGAACTCCTGCTTGAAGTACACACACAAACAGTAAAGATTATCATCGGTGGGAGGTGACTGAGAGGGCAAGGTAGGAGACGCTCACAGAAGGATGAACGGGACACTATTTATAAACAACCTGTGATTTAAGTTCCAGTAAAATGTTTCAAGTATAGAGGAAGGAGTTTCAGTGTTTCTCATTAGGGAGTGACATATGAGGATAATTATGAGAGGGGTAGGAGTAATACTATTATTTTTATACAGTAGTGAAACAGAAATACTTATGTCTCTCACCTTGAGTAGAGTGTTGGAGATCTGGGCGAGACACAGTCGTTCACAGTTGTCGATATTGAGAGAGACAATGGGCACTCCGTACAGCGAGACGGTCCCTACCTGTAGTACACCTTAGTTAGCACCAACACGTAACACACTCCTCCATCAGGTAACACATACATACCTCCATCAACACCAATAAGTAACACAATCTCATCAGGAACACCAGATCACCTTTGCAACACCTTTGTAAGTGTCCCTTTCTTACTCATTTCAACCAAACACGTGTCCTGGTTTATTGGCTATGCCCGTGTCTCTTACATACATTATACACATGTCATACGTATATACCATAATTATACATAAAAGATATGACGTCTTCACAGCTCCCGATAACAAACTCTTAACACGAGATAGAAATTGAAAAAAAAATAAAAAAAAAGTGATCTCAGGTAATTAGCTCCAGGTTAATTGGTATTCAGTAGTGAACTATTTAATAAGTTGTATGAATTTAGTAAAAAATATGATGATTTAGTATTATTTTATATATTTTTTTTTTCATGTGATTTAAAATTTTACCTAAAATAAGAAAAATAAAAACCACAGAAAAACAGAACTCGTACATATAAGAGTGAATTAAAAAAATATATCCTGGAGCACAATAGACGAAGGTGGATATGATTGTACACAGAAGGGGGGGGGAGGGGGAGGAGGGGGAGGGATAGTAGTAGTGGAGCACAGGACAAACACGGCAGCATAATACCCCACACTCACCTCAAGAACAAATCTTCACTAATTGGCGCCCTTTGACCCGCGCGCCTTTGATGTAATCGCGCGGGAGATTCAAATTCAAACGCGCGGGAAATCTCAATGTTTACACGTTTCTCTTCACAATTGCGCATGTGTAAATACACTCGTATGAGAAGACTACGCTCCCATGGTCCTTATGTAGAGTTCTTTACACTTTACTGTGTTGAACGGCGGCATTCATGGAAAAGAAACCATCTCGTTGGAATTTACGTTACCCCGAAAACTTCTCGCCTCGACCCAAAGTGTTCAGCGGCGGGGAAACATCTCCTTGAAGGGAATGGAAACTGTAAGGGTGAATATAAGAGAGGATGTGGCTATAAGAGTGATTGTCGCTCTCCAACCACTACTATCCTCTACTTACTGGTGAAAAAAAAAACAAACCTAACCTAACCTAACCTAAAAAAAACCTAAACTAACCTAACCTAGAAAAAGCCTAACCTAAACCGATCCGAAACAACTTTAACTTTGACCTGACCTGACCTGACCTGACCTGACCTGACCTAACCTAACCTGACCTAACCTGTTGCTGTGGTATTTTATTCAGTAGGAATTGTGGAATGGGATTTTGTTTATTGGGATTTTGGATAAATGAATCACTATAAGATGGGCTAAAGCTGTGTATGTATCTTGTGTGTAGAGGCACTGAGAGACACACACACACACACACACACACACACACACACACACACGAGAGATGCTTTTAATTCGTGTACGTGTTTCTACCCAAGTACTGTACGTTCATTTATTTTACCACGTACGTGTTTGTTCCGTGTAGTGAGGATTCTGGCAGGTGTGGGAAACTGACAGGTGTGGAGGAAACTGACAGGTGTGGAGGAAACTGACAGGTGTGGTGGAAATTGACAGATGTGGATGAAGTTGTCAGGTGTGGTGGAAACTGACACGTATGGAAAGATAAAGAATGAAAAAGCGGAAGAGAAAGGAAGTAGAAGAAGGAAAATAAGAAAGAAGAAAATAAGAAAGAAAGAAAAGTCCAAGATAAAGAGAAACATGTCCCATCAAATTCTTCTTTTAAATCATCTCGACACGACAGAACAAGAAGAACACCTTTGGATCTCTGTTAGTTCAGGGACCATCGACCATCACCACTCAGTCTGCTAACCTGAGAGAAGAGAATAAATCTGACGCATACAAACTCCTCCTTCAAACTCCTCCTCTCCTCGCCTCGCCAAGTCGCAGGAACTTCAAAGAGAATACACTCATTCACAAGCTTAGGCAAGGTAGAGAACTGTCTGGATCTTGGTTGAGTATCGTGATTAACTTTTGAGTATTTGTTCCAGGCTTCAAAAAGAGGATTAATCTTTACCTTCAAGATGGAGGAAGATTTGTAGGGGGATTGTGTAGGTTTCTCGGGAGAGGAATATGAAAATGCGTCGTTTTATCTCGTCTGTCTTATGTTAAGGAGGATGAGGAGGCGTGTTGGCACTCAGCGGGCAGCGGTGAGGACCATCCTACACCTGGAGTGGGACGAGTGGAGCCTTCAGCGGCGCCGTCATTAAGAATGTCTCTTTGGTGTATTCAAGCCGCTGGTGTTATTCACGGCCTCACAATGGGTGCTCGGGGCTGCCCTTTGATCTTGTCTGTGGCGGCTCTAAGAGTCGGCTAGACTGTAAGTGGGATTAGGCCACGGGTCAGAGGGCAAAGGCCAGCGGTGAGCAGAGTGCGCCCCGTGTTGACCCAGTGTCCGCCGGGAGCACCTCCGGCTTGCTCTCCGCTCACTCCCCCAGTCCTTCAGAGTCTCGGGGATCCTTGCCTTCACTCCTACTGGCCACGGCACCTTGGTATCTTAATACCTTGTTCTTGTTCCGCTTGCACAGGAACACATCTCCTTCAAGATGTGGCAAAGCGCGCTATTCATCCATACTGATCACTCTCTTCCACCATTGGCTACTGTACGTCTCCCCAGTGTGGTGCTACAACAGGTGTTCAACTCCTGTGTTTCCCGGACGAGGAACTGAGTGTGTGTGTCTACTGCTCTGCCCCATAGACCTTCACCCACAGGCTCTGTCAACACCTTATTACCGATATATTTGTGCACCACAAAAGGACAACTCCTCCGTCATGACTAAATATTAAGCTTATATCCACCACTTAGTTCTTTTCTTCCTCTGAGAAGTTATTTAGTGTTATCCTGGAGGAACCTTTTCTCGCCATCAGCGTAAAATCTCATCTTGCAGCTTTGATTAATTAATTGAGGTAACGGAGACCTCATCACCTGTGATACACCTGCCTGCCAGGAGTCACTACCTGTACTGATGCTCCTCATTACTAGCAGGAATTTGTATTTATCGTTGTGGACATTTGTCAACATCCAGTCACTTGTTACAAACACATTCGGTAACAAAACTAGTGATCCCGGGTCACTTAACCGCTCGTGACCGTTGTCGCGTTAATGTACAGTGTTTCTCCTGTACACACGTGTCTGGCTCCTGCAGTCACTCTTACCTACTGTAACCTCTCTCAGCTTAGGTGCGGCTCTCTCAACAACACATTTATATACTAGACAAATGTATATATCAATTCATACACATACAGGCAAGAGAGAGAAGGATGAACATGAGGCACCACGTACCTGGTTGGCCTTAGTAAAGGCAGTTTCTGGCTGATCGAGGCAGGGCGGAGCTAGTGGCACTGATGACGTCATGGGGGAGGCGAGGCGCTGCTCCACCCCGTCCATGGCTGTTGGGGGACACACACACACACACGTCTTAATTATACAGTAATTATAAGTATTATTACGACCAAGTATTGCACACCATTTACTGAAGTGAAGTCAGTTCACATGATCAGTATTAGCACTCACCTGACAAGTCCATATTCCATTACTAATTAAACAAATAATATGAAATGTTTTTTCACAAATATCACATTAGGATTACATAACTGTTCAATTTAGCGAGAGAGATTCTGTTTGGTCGCCCAGGACAACCCTCGTTAATTAATGTATTTATTTACCTTTTTAATCATGTAGATGATTTACAAATTATTACTGTGCCTGGCAGTACACCAATCAGCTGCTCGTTAGTTAAGCTTGGCCCCGGCAGGCCTCTCTGTGTGCGGTCTGTCTGGTTATTCTCTCTATTAATATTTATTATCTTCTAACCAAACAATAAAGAAATTATGGACAAATGAATTTATAAACAAATAAACAAAAGAGTGTACATAGAACACACACACACACACACACACACACACACACAGAGTTCATGTACCTCATACGCATTTAACATCGACAAACAACATTTTAAATAATTACTTGATAAATTATGAGCAGGGGTAATTAATTCAGGGTTATATTATCGCAGCCTTTTTCAGCCCGACTATGTTCGCAAATGGCCAATTACGCAGTGTTACCATCGTTAATGACAGCCCACCCCCTCCCCCCATCGTTGTGTAATCAGAGAGTAGCGTTAAGTGCGTTAAAGTTCTGCCTTCGTCATTAATATCGTTGTGTTATTATTACGAAGTGAAATTGACTGAACGAAACTGTATTTAATGATGTTTGTTGGTGAGTGGCGCCGGTGGTGTGTGTAACACAATTCGAGTCTGAGTGCGTGGAGTTCTGAGGGTACAAGTGAGGTGTGAAGGCAAGTAAGTCTGAGTTTTGTTACACAAGTGACGTCTGGAAGTGACCAGGTCCATTCTTCGGAGTCGAGCAAAACCAATCCCAGGAACCTAAGTGACCTCTGGGAGTAATCACGTCCAATTTCTCCTCAACAGCAACACTAACCTCCGCCTGGAAGACTTCATCTCTCATCCAGCAGCAACAACAACAACTACCGTAACTAAGAATGACGTACTGCCCCTTACTCCTTCCCTTCTCCCCGTCACCCCCTCCCCCCTGACCCCCACCTCCCTCCCTCACCCCCTCACCCACCTCCCACCACAGTAGGGCCCCAGAGTTTAGCGAAGAAGAGCTGCCTCAGCAACACGAGCATTATTCCAAGTCTGCAGACGGCGCCACTCCTTATTCCAACACACAATCCGATAACGTTAATTGAAAAAGTTGGAGGTAAATTATTTTACGTGGGATTAGACGCTGGTTCTTTTTTAATTTCCCAGGGCAGCGAAAATATGGATTAAGGAGTCAGCAAAAATTGTATCTGTCAATAGCGTTGTTGTGGAGTTTGTCTGATTCATTGAGTTGACGGGAGGGGAGGTGAGGGGTTAAGGGGGGGGGGCAGTGGCTTGGGGAGATTGGGGATGAGAGAGGGGGGGGGGAGAGAAAATGGGATAGTAGAAAGGGAGGGAGAGGGATAGTGGAGAGGGGGGGTGAGGGAGGTAGAGGGATAGTGGAGGAGGGCGGATGAAGGAAGTGGAATGGAGGAATAGTGGAGAGGGAAGTGGGTGAGGGAAGAAGAGGGAAGAAATGCGATATAGGAGAAAGAGGAGGAAGAGCTATTCGAGCAGGTCATTACATTAAGGGCAGGTTAAAGAGGCTTGTTTGGTACCTCGGTGTGTCAGGTCTTGTTGTGTCGAGCTGAGAGGTAAATATTTGTGAGCGCCTTAATACACACACACACACACACACACACACTTTACCAGGAGCGCTTATACAACTTTCTAGATATATCCTGAGGGGCAGAGGAACCTAAAGGTCTTGTTTAGTTCGAAAGTTTGAAAAATATTAATAGGGAGTCTTGTATGTATTTGGGATATATACCTGTATATATATATATATATTTATATTTTGTTGATGCACCACTAACAAGAAGAGGAGGAAGAGGAGGGTAGGAGGGTAGAAGAGGAGGAGGTAGAAGAGGAGGAGGTAGAGGGAGTTCCGAGGTCGAGAGAGGAGGATTAGTGTGAAGATCTAATGGGAGGGAGAACGAAGAGGAGGAGGGTGAGGGAGGAGGATAGCTGATCGGAACTGGGTGGTTCGTGGAGAGGGGTTGAGGATGGTTACCACACGATCCACTACCACAACCTTCAATACCACCACCACCACCGTAGTGCAGGTTACAACACCCTACCATCATCCTACCACCACCTATCAACAACCCCCATTCCCCACCACCTACCACCCCCACCACTACCTACCATCCCACCACCTACCACCATCCCACCACCTACCACCCCCCCTACCACCACCTACCACTCTCTCTCTCTCTCTCTCTCTCTCCAAAGCATCATCATACCAAGAGCTGTTTTTTCTTTACACCTCAGGACAAAACGTTAGCATACAGTCTTGGTCACACTCACACGAAATGAGGAGACTACGCGACTTGGGGGGAATGAAAAGAGAATGAAAGGAGTGAAGAATGAATCAGGTATACAAGAAACATGGTGTAAAGGAGCCACCACTTCCAGTCAAGTTAGAGAGAGAGAGAGAGAGAGGTGGTGGGGGAGGGGGGAGGTGGAGAGAAAAAAAAACTGGGTGTAGAATGAATTAAAAGTCGGGGGAGGAGGAGGAGGAGAGGGGGTCTCATTTACCCTCAAGTTCCCCAAGGGTCGAGTAGGACATTAATTATCCACGGTGATGTGTCTGGGCTCCGATTAATTCCAACTTTCAGTGTAATGGACATGCAATATAGCTTAGAGTGATTATCCCCCCTCGGCTGAAAAGGCTTAGTTCTGGCGTTTCTTCTTGTTTAAATCGCTCTCACAAAATCTATTATGAAAGAGGATTTAGCTGTGTGTATGGTAGGGGTTAAGCTTTCGGTGTTTAGAGGGTCGGTGTGTGGCTGCTCTGATGGATGTGTGGTAAGGGAGGGTTGATGATGTCATTTTGTGTGTGTGTGTGTGTGTGTGTGTGTGTGTGTGTAGTCAACTCTACGATCATCGAAAGTACTGTACACATACGATACAGGACGCATGCGATACAGGACGCATGCGATACAGGACACATGCGATACAGGACACATGCGATACAGGACACATGCGATACAGGACACATGCGATACAGGACACATGCGATACAGGACACATACGATACAGGACACATGCGATACAGGACACATGCGATACAGGACACATACGATACAGGACACATGCGATACAGGACACATGCGATACAGGACACATACGATACAGGACACATGCGATACAGGACACATGCGATACAGGAAGCATTTGGAACACTTACCAACGTGCTTAGAATTCTCTGGCGTTAAACGTTTCATCAATAACCTCCAAGTGATAATTTTTTTTAAGGTGTCTTAGACGAGTTGGTAACACTGTGCCCTTTTGTTTACTATACACCAGCGCCCACGGTTACAATACACCAGCGCCCACGGTTACAATACACCAGCGCCCACGGTTACAATACACCAGCGCCCACGGTTACAATACACCAGCGCCCACGGTTACAATACATCAGCGCCCACGGTTACAATACATCAGCGCCCACGAATACAATACATCAGCGCCCACGGTTACAATACATCAGCGCCCACGAATACAATACATCAGCGCCCACGTATACAGTATTCCCGGCCCCTTCTTCAGCCTGCCAGGGAACGACGTGGAACGGCTCACACACTCACTGCCTGGAGTTGGGAAAATTGATATCATACGTTCGTGTCGCTCTCTGATATCAGGACTGTCCATTTCAACCCGAGAACGTGCAGGTTCGCTGGTTTGGTCCGTGATAGCTGGTTTGGTCCGTGATAGCTGGTTTGGTCCGTGATAGCTGGTTTGGTCCGTGATAGCTGGTTTGGTCCGTGATAGCTGGCTTGGTCCGTGAAAGGTAGTTTGGTCCGTATAAGTGATAGGATGACAAACAATTAAGAATACCTGAAGACATCACTTGACATGTGTGTGTGTGTGTGTGTGTGTGTGGGTGTGTGTGTGTGTGTGTGTGTGTGTGGTAAGCTACAACCATCACGTAGTATTAACAGTAAAATATCTCTTCCTGGGTCCATCTTCGTCTCCACCTTCTAAGCCTTCTACAGGTTAAGTTTGTGAGTCTGGAGGAGGAGGCGGCTGAAGGCACTGTTTACCTCCCTGTCATGATAATGCCCTCCCCCCTCTTGTAAGACACAGATCCTTAACCTTTGCTCTACCCTTGCCAGTAACCCCCCCACCCCCCCTCGCCACCTCCCTCTTATCTTCCTTCTCTGCTCCTGTGGATTGAGCAAACAATACTGAAGGAAGAGGAGAAGAGGAAGAAGAGCTCCCAGCCTGTCTGTGTATACTTGTCCCAGTAAGGTGTAATAATAATGTCCCTTTATATGACCATGCAACAGACACTATCAATCACATCTTTAGTTGGAATCAATACGGGGTTTCCAGCATGGCCTGAGGGGGTGGGGGTGGTGGTGATGAACTCTGAGTCGAGATGGTGTTGTGGAGGAGGTGTAGGTTGGTGTGTGTGTGTAAGGCGTCGTGGGTGTAGACAGGGTGTTGGTGGGGTTTAGATTGGGTGGGAGTTGAAGTGTACTAGGTGAAGGTGTAGTCAGGAGCTATTACAGATGACAAGACCTATAGGATGGAGGAGAGCAAGACCCAGCTAGGAGGAGAGCAAGACCCAGCTAGGAGGAGAGCAAGACCCAGCTAGAAGGAGAGCAAGACCCAGCTAGGAGGAGAGCAAGACCCAGCTAGGAGGAGAGCAAGACCCAGCTAGGAGGAGAGCAAGACCCAGCTAGGAGGAGAGCAAGACCCAGCTAGGAGGAGGCCACAGGGAAACACTTACAGACCAACACTCACACGTTCCCTCACAGTGAAGGAAGCAATAAATT